AAAAAGATATCTAATATCATCAGTTATTAGGAAAATACAGATTAAAACCATAATGAGATTAAAACCTTAATGCTATTAGAAAGGCTTTGAAAAAATCTGACAGTATTAAGTATCGGCAAGGATGCAAAAATGGTATAGCCACTTTGGAAGAGTTTGACAGCTTTTGTAGAGCTTCACATACACTTACATGTGACCTCGCACTCTCACTCCTAGGATTTTATCCAAGGGAAATGAAGACATCTGTCCACACAAAATGTACGTGCATGAATGTTTGCAGTGGCTTTATTCATAATTGCCCCAAACTAGAGACAACTTGACTGTCCATCAGCTGGAGAATGGATAAACTACCTGTGATTCAGCCACACAATGAAATACTGTTCAGTAATGAAAAGGAATATATTACTGAGAAGTACATCTTCGTGCGTGTTGAAAGCATCATGACGTGGGAAAGCAGACAGGCTCAGAAGGCTACGGACTACATCATTCCGTGTATATGACGTTTCAGAAAGGGGAGGAGGCTATAGGAGCAGAAGTCAGACCCATAGTTGCCGGGTCCTGGATTGGAGAGAAAGACATTGGCTAAAATGGGCACAAGGGAACTTTATTGAACTGATAGAAATGTTCTGTACTGTCGTGCTTGTTACATAGACACGGTGATCGATCATGGTGGTGGTTACACAGATGTCTGAGTTTTATACAATTCGACACCTAAAAGAGGTGAATTTTTGTGTATGTAAATTATGCACCATATGCGCCAGTAAACCTGGCTTTTAGAAAAAGGCCATAGAAGCGTACCTAGAGAGTGACCTTCAGGTGGCCTCAGACCCCTGATCCCCCAGGCCCCTGGGGTAAGGCTGGGCAGTTGGCTTTCTAAGTGGAGGACTGTCCCCTTCACCAGCACGCTCCCTGTCCATATGGTAGATGCACGGTACATACGAGTAAATAAATGAATAAAAGAACAAATAAGCGAGTGCCTGCAGGAACTAAAGTAGACTCTGATAATCTGCAGGGCCCTGCAGGCTTCTCCAGCCTCTCCTGCTGTTACCCTGGGACAACTTGATTTCCCACCCCTGGGAATTGCTTCCTGTCTCCCCTCCTTCCCATCCCTCCCCACTAGGCCATGCGA